ACCCAGCACTGAGCCCTGGGGAACCCCACTCCGAAACGGAATGGGAATGCTTTCCAGGTGGGAGTGGAGGGGAGGGAAACCTGCGCAGGAACTTGCTGGAGGGCCCCCGGGAGCCCCTGGTGAGGCGCAGAGGGGAACTGGCGCTCCCTGACGCTCATAGGAAACGTCTCCCTTCCCCACTTAATTTTTTTACAGAGAAACAGCAAAGCGGGCAGTGGAACGAAAAGCCACTTTGCACATTTAGCTGAGCGCTACCATCTAATTTTCTAACCTCTTTCTTTCGCCCCCTGGGTCAAGCAGGCCGTGGGTGCAAACATCAACTCATTTCACGCAAAGCCCCGTGAAACCCTCCTGGGCAGCTTCTCTAGAGTTCATACGAGACACCTGTAGAAATAAATCCAAATTAATAGTTATCCTGCAAGAAGAGATTAGAATACCAACTCGATGAACTCAACTCACTGATTTCCCTTGGTTCAAATCTAAAAAAAGGGTGCAAAACTTTCCATCTCACTCCAAGAGCAGAGTCTCACAGCCTTGCCAGGGTGGAGCACACTTCCAAATGTTATCTGAGCGTGAGTCAGTACCTTTCTTGAGCAACACAACCTTTAACTCCGCATTTCCAGGGTTTTTAATGTTTGGTTTAAAAATAAAAGCAAAATAAAATAAACTCTTTCAACCCTGATATTTTGGTACAATTATATTTACTCCAGCTGAATCTTAACTTCATCATAGTGCTGCAGCTCTTCCTGTGGGATTTAACTAATGTTTGCAAAGCACTTGATTTATGATGAACTGCTGAAAATTATGTTTAGGGCTGCTGTACAGCTGAGGGTCTTGTTGTCAGACCATTTCTTACCATGAAGACCGTTTGACAGTTCCCCTTCCCCCATCCCCCCAGCCTTGCTTCCCAGCCTTCCCCAGCACAGTCATAGTACTTGTTTAGGAAGCAGTCGCATCACAACAATGTCAAGAAGACAAGCAGAGAATAAGCTTACTTTCCTGCATTGGGTGCTGTTATTTGGGTGACATCCTATTCATTACACATCTGTGGTGTTTATTTCCCCTCTCAGGGTGCAGTGCTTTGCATTGATTTATCCCAAATGTTTCCTGGTTTCCTCCAGACCCTGTTGCTCTCATCTCCTCAGGCTTCGGTACATGTTGTTTCCCTTCTCCTGTGGCCCTTTCTTCTGCAATGCCGCCCCCAAATATTGAGGGACAATGCCAGAGAAACCTCATCCATCAAAGGCATCTCCTCAGGACACATGAAGAAGCAACTTTGTGCTTAGTTGATTTAGAAAGCCTCCAGCTACCAAAATTTTGGCTTGGGTTCCAAGTTGTGAGAGGAAGGAAGATGGGGGGTAGAGGGAAGTACATGTCATTTCCAAAAAATCTAAATGAAATCCCACACCTAGGAAAGTCAAGCATGTTTCAGGATGGAGTGGAGTGGTGACTAGAGGTGTTGGCGAGGATGTGGAGACACAAAACAGGTTAGTGTGAGAGGTGAGTTGAAACAGGCATCTACCACCAGGAAACCTGCTTACTAACCGTTGTTTTTCCCTCCTGTGACAGGTGATGGACAGCTCGATGCCCCTGATTGGGGAGCATGTGGAAGAGGACAGACAGCTTATAGCTGATCTGGTTGTTTCCAAAATGACTCAGCTTGTCATCAGTGCCGGATCTACACCATCACCGCTGAGGCCTTGGGTATGAGTGAATAGAGACCTTACGACCAAATCATTTTCCTGAACTTTTTTTTTTTGTCTCTCTTCCCTGTGTGTGTCAGGCAGTCAGATATCTCAGATTGTTGAACAGTCCCATATAGGAGTGTATTGGACAGATTGACTCCTGCTCTTTCAAAGAAGCCTCTTACAGATTCTTGGAAGTGGGTGCCCTTAAGAAACATCTCTCTCTCCCCCTTTCTCTCCTTTCATATAACTTCATATTGAAGACAGACATTTTTAAAGGTGCTTGTAACGCCCAACTTCATCTCTGACTAACACCATCCCTCGGGATAGGTTTCATTCCAGTTTTTGCATCCCTGATGAAAATCTGTGCTTCCCAGAACAGAAAGTGGGAATGTCCATCAACAGTTGTTCTATTCCTTACTGCAGCCTTTCTTCTTTGGAGATGCCCTTCACCTCCCTCATCAGGAGGAGGCTTGTCTAATGCTCAATTCATATAAGAACCTGTCATTTTCACATTTAAGCTGACCTCTTAGTGCTTTTCATGTGCATTCATTTTAAGTATCAAATGCATCTAATCTTAGTGCCACATTTCCCAGTGGCAGTTCTGTATAAATGGCAAACACCAGAACATAATGTGTGTCTCCAGGTGTATGTGCTACACCTCTTTCAGTATCTAGCAGGGAGACAAGCACAAAGGTTTGAAGACAACAAATCTGTACAAAAGAAAGCAAAAGAGAGTAAATAGTCTGAGGGATAACACTGCAACGCACTGGAACAGTTTCCATTTCCAGTTGAGACAAAAAAATGGGAGGAAGCACTTTATGGCTCTCTGACATATGAGAGCCCACTCCTGCTAAACCAGGTCCACAGCATGAAGGATATTCAAGGTAACTTCAAACCAAGTTTCAGTTAGAGTGAGGGGGTAAACATTTAACAAACACTAAAAATGCTTTGGGGCAGGGAAAGCGATACAAAAGGGACAGGATTTACTCTGGCCAAAGTGAAATCAACAACTGTCATCTGAAATAACCAAGATATAGACTGTATAAACTAAGGGCAAAGGGTAGGCCAAGAGGAACTGAGAACACGGACAGATGCATCTGTTGTCTACGTAATATGCTGGTACAGGATTGGATTGGATGACAACAAACCTAAAGCAGGGCCAAAATAAGAACAAAACAAAAGGTCTTGGAGGGATCAGATGTCAGAAGAGTTAAATAAAAAAGTCTTCATCAAAAATGCAACCTACAAATATCTATATACAAGATAAAATTAAAACCACAAACATGTTGAGTGTTTTGCTGCAGAGAAAGGCCTTGGTACAACAAACATCGCAAAAAACTCCCAAACTGCAATTACTAACATAATGCTATAATACATAGTTAAAAATGTCCAGACAGAAGCAGTTACATGGAGGGTGGTGAGATGCAGAACTAGAGCTACAATGAAAACTTCCACAGAATCAAGAAAAATAATAGTTCTGAATACAAGAACAGCAGTACTGAATATATAGAAATATGAATCTTTGGATATCCTATGGGTATGCATAAAATATCTATACCTATTATTGGAGCTGTCTATACTGTCCTCTGGATCAAGAAAAACTAAGAAATTGTCAAACTGAGTTCACAGAATTGACAGAGATGGAAGAAGCAGTAAGTCATAACAATGTGAGACTACAGCTGCCAAGGAGCAAGTCAAATAGTGCAGCGGGACAGCAATTCAGAGAGAGCTCCCCATCTCTGTAAGTGTTTGCTTCCTGGAACTGCAAAATCCAAGTGCAATAGGAAACAACACCTTGACCTAGTCTTAAGAAATACGCAGCTACAAATTCAGAAAATGAATATGTAGACTTAGGTTTGGTGTCCAAGGGACAGGTGTGGTATCAAAAAGTAACAGCACGACCCAAACAGTTAGAAAAGGCGATTCTAATAAAACAAGAAAATTAATCAAATCCCTAGCATTGAAAGTAAAACTGTACGGACATTATCTGAGAGACCATTGTTCCCCAGAATGCATATATACATTTCTGATCTGCTCCTGAACCAGGAATGCAAGAAATAAACTTCTAGAGTTAAGTGGCAAAATGATAGAGCACATCTAAGAAATACAGAAGGAAAACAACTTTTGAATTTGGAAATCTGACATTTAAGATGACCTTTATGCACCACCATGCAAGTAATAAAAGGAAACATAAGGATAGAAATTGATTTTGAAGAGTAGATAGAGGGAAGAATGAAACAAATTCTTTGAGATCATCAGAAGATAGAAGCCTATTGAAGAATTAGTGGGCTCTATGAATCATCCAAAGTTAAAGGAGTATAGGAAGACAACAGGGACAGTGTTGTGGATTCCAGTAAATCTAACTGGTGAAAGTGGGGAACTTCTTAAACTAGACGTAGTTTTTCCTGACTAGAAAGACAGGGGAGAGAACAAAAACAGTGATTAAACCAGTGATGACTTGTATTTTCAAAAATTAAGCCCCCAGACCCAGATGGCTACATCCAATGAACTGAATTTAGGAACTGACTAAGCTGCCAAGAAAAAATGTACAACTTCATTAGAAACAGTTATTGCTCCAGAGGGTTGGTGTACAACAAATACAAAATATGTGTTTAAAAGCCTGTAATGTAGAAAAATGTAGACAAGGAAGTACTGAGCCTTACAAATTATCTCAGACAATAATTTAAAGAATAATACAGAAGACTAATAAACCAACAGAACTGTGGCTTAAAAGCATCCACCAATATTTTTTTTTGTCCCCGAAGAAAAATGTCCCATTAGTTTCCTTTTGATTCTTTTCCCATTGTTTCTTTGAGAATTATTTCATAAAGTGGTAGATAACAGGCAATCAGTCAAAATAATGTAGCTAGCCTGTCAAAAAGCCGTGGGCAAGGTAACAGACAAGAGCTATTGAAGAAAGCAAGCAGGGAAGGGCTAAAAGGCAAAGTTTAATTGTGGAGCAGAGGCTGGCCTCAGATAAAGACACAAATATGAGAGATGCTAATTCTTGCAAAGTGAGCAGAGGGCATACTTAAAGGATGATAGGCCTGGTCATGTTGACAGTTGGGTTGGTTGAGCCCAGGACAGGATAAGATGTCAATGACAACCTGGTTTCATAGTTACAGCTGGGATTTTTCTCCTCACCTCTCTGCCCCACCTCCATCATTTCCCCTCACTGTTTCCCTTTCAAAGGCAGAAGACCTTGGGCTAGCCCTCACCCCTTCATCTCTGAGCCTCAAAATCCTGTTTTGCCTTCATCTCTGAGAAACCTTGGGTTGGCTGTAGGCAAAGGCCGTAGAGGTGAACATGAGATCTGATTCGCTTTCTTTGGCTGGTCTAATCAGCATGTCTCACAGTATTAGGACAGTAAATTTCCACCAACAAGGCAAGGTTTAGTGTCCCAAGCTATGTAAGACTAGAAGCCATGAATGGAAAATTCCCAGGTTTTCCTCCCTGTTCATTTGCAAGTCCCAGATAAATAGTGTAAAATATGGGCTGGCAACCACATTGCACTTAGTGTTAGTCAGTTGAAACTCATTTCAATGCTTCCAACTATAAAACATTTCTTCCCATTTCCAGAATCACTTAGCTCATTCTCCTGACCTTCCAGGAGTCTTGAAGACCCTTTTATCATTGTGTTCTCCGTGTAAATAATCCAGCATGTACCAGCCTATCTGTCTTCAGCTTCCCCTGCTTTCATAAACAATTTTGTGCAATAGGCTTACTCAGACTTTTGTTAACCTTGGACCGGCCCTTTGTGCAACAGTTCTGTGTTGCTTAATCTGTTTATTAAAATATCTGTCAAAAAAAGTAAACAGTGAGAGAGAAGAAAGTGCAGATGGCACCAACCTATTTGCGTTAGTCATGACCAGGGATGGCAGTGAAGAACATCTGACAGAGCTATGTATGCTCAGTCACCACAACAGCAAATTAAACTCCGTATGGAAGACTGAAAGGTAAGCTAAGCTAGGGGCAGAGAAAGGGAGAACATAAACAATCTGTAGACCTTGCAAGTGGCACTAGCCATTTTCCCTGAGAAATATTTTGTCGCATACAGGCTAATGAAAACCATTGCTTAACCTATGGTTGCGTTGACAAGGGAGAAGCAGGAAATTAGGATGCAGGAGAAATGAGCTGGTGATGTATACAGAGAATCCAGATACTGCTTCATCTGGAATAACATACGCAGACCTGCCTCTGGCATCTGCAGAAGGAATCACAAAGCTGGGAAAGAGAAGTGGGTGATGAAAACAGTTAGGGGCCTGGAAACATTCCCATGGAGGGACCAAAGGGATTCAGTCTCTTGGCTTTAGAAAGCAGGTGAATGAGAGAGAGGGCAGTAAAGGTTTGCAAAATAACGAACAGCCTAGCAAGGGCAGGTTGTGAGAACTATTCTCAAAACCCAGAACAAAGCAATGGAGTTAAGAAATGGGAACGGCAGCGAGGCTGAGAGCTGAGCAAGACTCAAAGGGTCTGGGTGTAAATATCAAACCAAAGTTATCTGGAACTGTTGCAAAGATTTTGTGGAGCAGATAATAAGCTTCATGTTTCAGGGTTGAAGCTGGCCTTTGCTTATTAGTAATCAAGAGGAGACCCCTCAGGGTAAAAAGATGATTACTCTAAAGATGTTTCCATGGTTCACCCCTCCTTCCTTTGGAACATCTGGTGCAGGCAGCTGTCCAAAATGGGAGATGGGACTAAGAGATCCCCTCAGGCCTGATACAGTTGGTAATTCCTGATTGCCTAAAAAACATTCTAAACTGTCACTTCATTGTTACTCCCTGTGAGCAAAGACCTTCTGTGCTCTGTATTACTCAGCTCTCCATTTTAGTCCCATGAGATTTTACCAGCCAGATGCTGCATGTGCATGTGTGTGTGTATTTAAGGAACACTTCATGACTCCACAGTTCCTGTATTACCTCAGGGCTTCTCTTTGGGGACTCTGTATTAACTGAAATGGCTTTTTTTCCTGTAGCCTCCACAAGTTCAGCCTGCGTCAACGAAATCTCAGACTGGACCTCAGCTTGGACAACTGTCCCAACCACGGCCTCCTCCCCAAGGTACAGTTCTTTGGGTCCCATGACAGCGTGGATTGTGAGACCTATCAGTTTGCCTTCTAAATAAAAGCTATTAGGATAAAGCTTTCACTCATTGTTCCAGTTCGCTGACAAGCAGGCAGCAAATTCAGCGTGCTGTTAAAGCAGCTGCTGTCATATTCCACAGCAGCTCAGAAAGTGGGGTGAAACTTTGATACAGATCCAGCTGACACTTGCTGGCTCAGCAAAACAAGGCTACTTGAACTGGCACTGGAGCAGGGCTTTGGGCACCAAGTGCATTCATGTTTGCACGAAGCTGTAGTGGCTACAAGCGTTAAGAAGTGATGAGAAGATGCTAGTGCTGTTAAGCCTGAAACAGACACCAACATGGTGATGCCAGGATTCTTGATCCATCTGTCCGGGTGTTCCCCTGTCAGCAAGAGCAGTGTGCTCCAAGCTCCTCCTGACAGCAGAGTCAGGCTTGGTCAGAACAACAGGTATAGTTTATTGTCCTGGTTTACACTGAGGTGATGAAGCACAGGGCTGCCCTGTGGGTATCCAGACCACACCAACCACTCAATTCACATAACCAATTAGACCCTCCTTTTTGCCACCTTTGTTCCTTCCTTTCTCCACTCCAATCTCCTACCAAATTAATACCCACCTCTAATTAGTTTTGCTGTATCCAAAATTCAGTATTTCTAATACCAAATGCATCTATGTAATCTTGGCCTTACACGGTATTACTGATAGGAATTCTTGGCCTTGCAGGATACTACTCCCCATCTGTCTCCAGTACTCCAATTCTCTGTGAAGTTTTTTCTCACGTAACTCACCCTTGACCACCTGTGAAATCCAGCCAGCCCTCACAATGCTATCTGTAACTTTTGTCAGCTTCTCACGCTGTTATCTGTCACGTCCAGCAATATCTCATGTCACATCCAATTGTTGTCCACATCCTTTTCAGTTTTGAGAGCCTGCTACCAACATGGCTGAAGCCACCTGCTGATAATGCTGGAACAGATGTATGGATAGCAACAGGGTGCACAGTCTCACATCACTGCTGAGCCCATGAAGGGATTGCTGACCCAAACCAGGACATTCAGCTTTCATTTCTTGCAGAGAGTTGGTTCTCCAGTGATTCTTCCTTCCCAATGCAGGAAGTGCTTGCCAAGGATAAGAAATACTAGTTACATGGACAATACGGCACATTGAAGCGAATCCCTTTGGGGAGAGCGGCGAGCCACTCCCCTTAGCAAAACCCACTCTTCCACACAGATGCTACTTGCTTGTTGTTCACCACATGCACTTCCTTACGCTTATGTCTACATGTCCCTTTCAGGTGGACCACGCCAGCCTCAGGGATCACAGCCTCCACGGACAAACCCACCTCCACAGCAGCGGCTCTCTCCTCAAGGACAGCAGCCCCAGAGTCCCCAGTCCACTTCACCTCAGCAGCAAAGGTCACCTGGATCTCCACAGCAAGTCCGATCAGCAACTGGGTCCTCTCCAGTCCAGGCTCCCAAGGCAGGCGTGTTCCCTCCACAGCAGCCTAGACCTCCTGTTCAAGGCCGGGCTCCTAGCCAGCCAAGCCCCACTGAAACATCCAAGCAGCAGGCCACCCCACACCCACATCTGAAGTAGGTGCTCTGTTAAACTGCTGATATCTGTAGATATTAGAATAAGGCTGTCAAAAAAGTACGCTGAGCTGGCATGAACAACATACCACCTCTTGTCAGGCGGTAGTCCCCAGGGACAAAGGCCTGGACAACAGTGAGTGACTTCAGAGGTACACGTGCCTGGGCAGAACAGGCCACCAGTGAACTGTTGTCAAGTAGAAAAGGTCGTCCTTGACATCTCTAAGATTCCCATTCCTTCCCTTGCTCATGCGCTCATGGTTAATCGTGTGCTCTACCCTGGCCATATCAACACAGTTACTGCCTTTCCAGCAGGATGTATACTCCTTACAGGCTGTAATCAACACATTACTGGTCAGAAAGCTCAACAAGAGTCATTCCTTCACTATTCCCTGAATGCAGGAGCCACACAAGGTTCTTTACCAGGCATTTTTTTGCCATTGGTAGCAAAAAAGAAGAAGGGGGGGTGGGAGTGGAAGTGGTACTACTCACATACATACAAAACTCCAGATGGTGACTGTATGTTTAACTGCTCTTCTAGAGCAGAGTACACCACTGAATTATTGTAGATCTTTGGCAGCACTCTCTGCTGCCACCCTGCATGGAGGGTATCTGGCTGGCACCATGGCAGAAAATATTGGCAAAAAAATGTAAGGTATTGACAAAAAGTTGACACAAGCAAACTGGTATGAACAGTCCAGAACAAAATATAGGCTAGGAATGACAAGAGAGTTTCTAGACAGCAAAAGGTGATGTTCCAGAACAGGCTTTCAGTGATGATGTCTACATTAGCAAGGCAAACCAAGACCAGTGGACTTAAGGGTCAAAATGTTGGTGCTATGGATGCAGTTTCCACACTATACATATTTCAGCTTCTTTAATTTGGAGTCTGGTCTTGTGCTGAATGCTTATTACTGATCATAAGAAATCACTCAGTGACAAAGTATGTTAAGTGGGGAAAATTGGGAGGCTTACTTCAAAAGCACAGTTCTGATCTGAACTTAAACACTAGCAGATACACACCCAGCAGAAGCAGTGTGGCCAACTGAAAGACCTGCATAACAGCTGACAGAGCAGACACGCCAGGGAGGGCAGGCAACAGCATACATTGCAGGGGACATGGCTACCAATTTGTCCAACCCCTCATGCTCTCAAATTTGAAAGGACAGGACCACCATTCACAGTGCGGCTGATGAGAGACAGGTAACCCTTGGTATTAATCCATTCTTCTGTATTAGCACTGAAATTACTTAACTGTTTCTCATAACAGTTGCACCAAATGGCAATTGCATGTTTTTAGTCAAATGTTTTCATAAACACTTACTAGTCTGGACAGTGATACTGGAGCCACCTGTCCATGCCCCATCCTCTCCTCTCCCCTTCCTTCCCCTCATTCCTGGATATCTTAGCATATGGAGAGTCTCCTTGCTTACATCTCCTTTTATCCTTGAATTTGTCTGTGTGATGGAACACAAAGCATCAGCAATCAGCTTTGAACTACCACCTTCTCCTGCTGAGTCTGAATTCTGTTTCCCATTTCAGCAAATCGCAGTCCCTGACAAACACCTTCAGCATATCTGAATCATCTCAGCGGGGAAATGCCAATGAAGACGAAGCAAAAGCTGAGACGATCCGCAACCTGAGGAAATCATTTGCTAGCCTGTTTTCCGATTAACAGCCCTGCAGCTGGATCTGTGCTTTTTGTCAGCCCTCACTCTTCATGTCGGCATACCTGATGTCATCCTGGAATACGCTCAATGGTACCCAGCGATTTACAGCTAACACCTGGGTAAAGGAAATTTAGAAAACTATAGTTGTTTTAATACAAAGAAAATATTATAACGGTCTGAAAAGTGACTGTATAAAAGTGGCACTGGGTTTTGTGCATAATCAGAATCACATCTGTTCAAATGACTGAGTTGTAAAGCAAATTTTACTCTTGCTAACCCCTGTGGAGTCAACACAGTTATGGCAGTGCAAACTAGAATTTATTTTGATTTGTATATAGTCAATACAATTGCTTACTCCCAATTACTGAATCCTTGTTGTGGTCGAGCTAAAAAAAATGCAGGCTTTTTTCAGAAACAGATGTGAAAAGATGGAGTCAAGAATAAGTATTCATTGACTGATAAAGTGAGCATGCTTGAGCATGGAAACAGCAAACTGTGGAACCTCATAATACCAACCTTATAAATAAAGTCACTTTTTTGAGCAAAACTACAATCAAGTTAAATACGGTACCAGACATCAGTAAGCACCAAAGATCACACAAGCGAGTCATCCAGATGGACTGCTGGTTAGCTCCAGATCAGTCTGCTCACAGCAGATAAAACATCTCTGTTTCATGCCTTGCATTTATGTTCCCTGCACGTGATTCCCTGAGTTCTGAGAGAAAAATGTCATGTCCTAACCCTGTAGCCTTAGCTCAAAAATAACCTGAGAAATGGGCCTTCCACACAAAAAACAACTTCTTCCCCAGCCCCTGGAAACACCAGAGTTCACATTCACAGTTCATGCAAACTCCAGACAGAACCCAGCTAAACTTCAAGCACTTTGGTGACTTGGTCACATCTGGCTAAGTACATCCCCCAGGAACACGCTTAATTAACAGCAGAGCCGATGAAGTGCACATACTTGTGTGCTGAGTGTTCCATAATACCAAATGGACAGAGAGATGGAGTGAAACCCTGTCTCCCTCCTTGAACCCCCATTGACCACACTGGGGTGAGCACAAAATGAATGCAAGGTGACAAATCTGCAACAGAACATGAAAACTATACTTGATAAATAAGATGAGCTGGGGTCCATCGACAGACACCAAGCCATGGGAAGGAACGTACAGGATTGCCTCCAGCAGGCAATGATCAGTATTAGTCCTCCCCAACCACCCCCAAGAATCAGTCTTCCAGAGAGGACAGAGATGGATCTTTGCCAGGTGTGATTTTCCTAAGCTTGCAACTCAGAATGAAGCTGTGCACGAGCACATATATTAGAACTGAGACACGGGAAAATCCAGGAATGAGACAAGCACATTCGTGACTGAAAAAACCCACCTTGGGTAAATCAATGTGGCTATTTCTACCAGTGGAGAATCTACTCCTTGCACGGTGCTAGTTCTGTTTGTAACATACCTAATGCAAGCGATAGTCCCCATCCCACCTCCTGAACTTCTCTTCAAAGTTTTGTTAAGTACTTTAGTTACAAACCGTGCATGTGGCATCAAGACCAGGCTTTTGGCTTTTTGTTTCCCTTAGCAACTTCACACTGATGACACTTACAAATGACAAGGGAGGCAGGGATGCCAGTAAGTTAAAAACATTTGAGCCAATGGCATAGGTCTTTATTGTCACTTAAACAGAGATCCCCAAAGCAGCAAAAGCAACAGCAACATTTGCTGTCTCGGATCTTATGATTCACTGGTGGGAATAAAGCCAAACAAGCAATTCCTTCCTGCATAGTACCTGTAATGAACATCTAAATCCAATGCAGTCATCTGGACCTTGTACGACCTACCCGTGAGCAGGCCCTTACACATACAATGGCTTTTGTGACTCGTGTGCTTTCAGACAAGTAACAGCGTAGCTTTTCCACGTTGGAAGGCTCTCGAGAGACCCATCTGGATCAACGATTTATATCTCAAGTTCAGTATTATAGAACCACCCTATTCCCTGATGATTTATCTCCAACCTCCCCCAGTTCTATGTTGTCCTTCCAGGTTTGCTAAGCAGTTTACAATATAGCATCATAAATACATGTCATTGTCTGAGAAAAAAAACAGACCCTGCTGTTTTGCAATCTCCAGGAGCAATAAAAGAGTGACAAATGGCCTTGAGCAAGCACTGTCCCTCTGGCAAGAACAATAGCAGATTAACAGGCTCCACTGTATGGAGAGGAGGTAATACAACCCTGGTGGGAGAGGATTTCCCTCTATAACACTTCCCTCAGCATGGTTTATGCCTTTCCCTACTAAATGGTCACCAGAGATTCAAAGGCAAAAATAAGTTTCCTGCCAGAATCCTCAATTGCTCTATCCCCTCAATCTTTTTATGTCTCTCTTACCAACACAACCTATACAAAAAAATAAGTAACTAGTGACTAGTATGGCATGGCCCCATAAATTGACCCCAGTTCATCACTGAAACCACAACAGCTGGATCATTTGCTGATGCTGCATTTGAACACAGCAGGGCTGTTCTCCAGTGGACCACAGTAACAGGACAGCACTGAGCACTGTTGATTTGATACCCAGCAGTGACTCAGATCTCTTCATTTGCCTGCAGCTCGCAGCTGTCAACTTTCAAGAGACAAGCAAACAGAATGGCATCCTCCCCTCCTCCTAACTCCAGCTTGCAAAAGCAAGTGAAAACAACAGGCACTCTCAGCTTAACTTGGTTACTCCTAACAGTTCCTGAAAAGCATCTTCAGTTCTACCCACAGAAGTGCTTTAATGAAAACACTGAGTTGATTTCCTAAGTTAAAATTACAAAACTCTACACTGTGTCCTATAAATGTTCCAACATTACACCTCAATCTACAACTATGATGCTCACATGCTAGGTCTTGTGGCTAGTAGGAGATTCACAAATGCAACAGTATGTATTCCGGTTATCACTTTCGATACAGGATTTCTATTCCAAAATCCCTACAATCTAACAAAACAAGACAGAGAAGAAATACAAGGGGCATGTTCTCCATTATATGAATAGGCAACTAAGGCATACCCAAGAGGTATTTAGGTACCTAAATATAACAGCTGGACTTAGGAGAAATAAGAAGGCAACAGAAAAGTTGACAAATAGACATTATATTTAAATCACAGGGCAGACATGGCCCACAACACACCTGGGGATCTTTCTCACACAGCTGCAAAAACTGAGCACGTGGTCAAAGCTTTCCTTTTGTCCTGAATGATTTTCTTTACACAGAAGTCAGGAAACATGAATAGATTTATGTGTTTGGATCCAGCCCAAGAAGGAGCTGGGACACAGCTAAGACACCCATTCATGTCCACACCTGGAAAATGAATTTACATTTTGCTGTTTAGATACGGGCTGAGAAACAACTTGACTTTCTTGCAATATCTAGGTGTGGTATTTCAAGAGCAATGTCACCTGTGTTCCCACATGCGACTAAAAGTCTTGTATAAAGCTAAGGCTCAGAAGAATAGCAGTCCTGCTCCAATAACTGCAGCAGCATTTTCTTCTCTCTCACTAATTGCATGCAAGTACATAAGACCTTACACCCTGCATATGACCCAGCCATTTCATCTGATTGCCTTAAGTTTCATGAGTAAGATAAAACAATACACAGAAAAGCCAAGTTCCTTATTTCCAAGTGACTGCTAGTAGCAGCCCTAACAGCGCTGGATATGGATGAACAGTACAGTAAGAAACGCCCATCTTCAGACATTTCATCTTTAGTGATTTCTCTTCTGTAGAGTTTGCAAATGGCAATGACACACATACTCGGCTTAGGAGCTGGTGAACTAAAAAAAAATAAGCAGCTAGTTTTCAAACATTTCCTCTCTTTGTCTTCTAATTTTACACTGTTGGTTCCAAGATACTCACTTCATATGTTATATCTTGGTTTATGAATAAAAGGAACTCATCTTTAGGGAACTTGACAGTTCAGGGTAACTCAGGTTTCTTTATCTTTGGCTCACAATACCTTTACTACAATGTGGAGGAACAATGGAGAACAGGAAAGAGTATCTTCAGGTCACTTTGCAATGTATCTGTTAAAAGGCTGAGTTCGTTTCTTCGAAAACAAACATTTAAATGACAAAATCCAGGATAAACAGAACATGTGGCACCAGCCTGGTGGAAGTACAGCAAGGCTGCGTTCCTGGCAGAGGGCCCAACTCCAGAGCAGCACGGGGCATTCCAGCAGACAATCACGTTGCTTGCTCATCAAGGCACTGGTAATACAAGTACCACTGACACCACAAAATTAACCCCTCTCACACATATAAAAATCATCATTCCCAGACACAGCTTCAAAAGAGTAGAGAGAGTCGGTTACAAATTATTTTATCAGTTAAAGCTGTATAACCTGATCTGAATATTATGTATGGATTTCTGAAGCACTCATCACAAAGACAAAATGGTGCAAGATCAACACAGTGTAGATTTCCCTTCTCCTTTTTATAGTCAGTAGAATATAAAGAATTGCTGTGAGCTCTGAGAGGCCCGACTATACGCTTCACTTAGGTGACAATTCTATTGGAACAAGGCAATGCAACCACTGCAGGCAAGTGTTAAAAATTAAAGCTAACCTTGGTATGGAAGGGAAATCACTGTCCCCCGACTCTATATACTCTTACGTGTTTAATCATGACAGGATTTGCACTGGTATGCCATTGCTGTGAAGTAGAAAAGGAAAAAAAGAAGAAATACGACTTTCAACAGCAAAATTAAGTATTATATTTTACTTCCACTGGAGTTAATGGCAAAACTTCCTGACTCTACTGAAGTCAACTGATTTTATACAAAACAAGAAGATGAATCACTGAAATATCACCTGAAAAAGCACGTTAAGTACTACTGATTGAGTAGTTTGTATTTAATAGGAAATGTCATTCCATTTCCACTGTTGAAATTTCAAAAATATTTTAGAAAATATCAGCTGTCACAACAGTCATCAGTACCATTTACATTTACAGAAACACCGAGATCAATCCATCTTAAAAAAATATGTAAGTGAAAAGTTCTAGCAAAGTTTAGTCATTCCAGTCTTCCTTTAATTGAGCTCCAGCATCAGCCTGCAGATCTCATCAGGAGACTTGAACAGTGGTCTTGTTAGTTGCTCACTAGTTAATAAGACAACTCTTGAAAGGTGCTCATAACGCACTACAACACATTTCCTCTTGGCAAGTTGTATTTTCATAACTTAAGTAATGGAATTAAATGAAATTTACTCAGTAAAGTGAGAATTCATTCTGCTTCTCCTGCTGTGATGCCACTTCCACTGCAATCA